TATGTAGAATTATAGAAGTGCATGTCATTCTATGAATTTCTGATTGATATATATCCATTGTTGCTGTTGCTGTTTTTGGCACTTTCGAAAACACCAAACATCAACCAAGCGGAACGAATGTTAAGCGATTTCGATAACGCCTGTGGAAAGATTGGTCTTCAACTGAATCTAACGAAAACAATGTTCATGAGGAACGGATCGGTTTCTAATGCCCCATTCACGCTCAACGGAAAGACAATCTCCGAATGCTCCAGTTACGTCTATCTAGGTCGTGAAATCAACATGATGAATGACCTAGCTCCAGAGTTAAGCAGGAGGAAACGAGCGGCTTGGGGAACGTTCAAGAGCATCGAAGATGTAGTGAAGAGGACAAAGAACATCCGACTTCGTGCCCACCTTTTCGACTCGACAATTATCCCTGCTCTAACGTATGCAGCAGAAACCTGGTCGCTACGTAAGCAGGATGAAAGATCACTTGGCGTTATCGAACGCGCAGTCGAAAGGTCGATGCTAGGAGTATCCCGTATCTTCGCAAATGAGAGAAAGGATCCGAAGTTCCGACCTACGTCAACGATCGAAAATCAGAGACCCGTGCTACACGCCATGATATCGAAAATAAGGTGGGCCGGACACTTGATGCGCTTCAACGACAACCGATGGACGAGAGCCGTTGCCGACTGGATTCCTCGGGACGTCAAGCGCTCTAAAGGAAGACCACTGACCCGTTGGTCCGATTTCTTCACGAAAGTGATAGTAGAAAGATATGATGCTCAGCGAATCCCTAGAGCGAGGAGGACCCACTGGGCTACTCTTGCACGCGATAGGGAAAAATGGAAGAGTTGCTGGTACCCGCTCGAGTCACTCGACGATCAACGGGACTACAGGTGATACAGGTGATATATCCATTGTATGCAATATCCGTTAAGCAGCCTTTGCCATTGTACATGCAACTGATTTTGCATGTTCATACGTCTTTTCTTAGTTGATTGCTCATAAAGTGAATCAATTTATCTCTCTTAAGCTCCAAGATCTTAAGCAACTCCAATGTGATTGCGTGCAGGTGCTTGTAGCCGTCCATTAGTTAACCACAGACCTAATCGTCTGTTGCTTCCCATGAATATCTTCCTCGTTGACCGCTTGTGCATATACTATGCTGACTTTTACGAACATTTGCGGTTTGTATATACGAAAAGGGGTTGAATACTTACCTAGTCATTCTTGCAGTTTTCTTGATTGCTTGTTGTCACTTACATTCGCTTCTTCGGAAGTGTGTCATTGATTGGTCGACCGCGGAAAGGCGAGTCATTTTGACTTCCTGAGCTTGATGGAAGGGATACCTTCGAACTATCAGCTACTACTGCATAATATTGTTGGAAATTAAATCGAGAGACAATGATGAAAAGATAATTGGTGAATGATGTGATAAGTGTTGTCACTCAGAATCTTACCCTATTCATTCACGACGATGAGAGGTGTTCGAGATTACGTGAGACTCGGGTGCAAGAAACTAATTAGCTTCTACGTACTCTACATGTCCAATTTTTGACAGCTGATTGTAGCACAGCATATCTGTGACGTTTCAAAAGAATAATGTTTCAAAAAATACGCTCCCATTCTCACAAAACAGGCGACAAGTATACACATCAAGAGTAGGGAACATATTCATCTCTCAAGGATGCTGTTTTCATGTTGAACAATACAGATTGTTTGCATGCACGAGAGTTCTTTGCTAAAAACCACTCCAAGAAGGTCGCTTTGATCATATACCTTGTATTATGACGCTAAAGCGCCTTTTACATGCAACTTTACTAAATAATTATAGATAACTACCTGATGAATGCAAACTCTATCAAAACATGCTTCTAATGAATATCAAAATATACTCCGTATAAGTAGCATATGAGATTTTTTCATCGTTAAAATATGCCTTTGAATTGAACCCCTACCATGTCGTCAAAATAACTGGAAAAATGCTTTGGAAATGCACTGTTATCCCAAGGGCACAGCTTTTATATTGAAAAGTTGCAATTTCAGCATTGGACGTTCTTCTTACTCAAATTACACTAGTAGAAACTCCTTCAATAATAAATCATCTTTCCACTGCAAAAATGCTTACTTTAAACTTAAAGTTCACTATATAATTTCTCACAAAACAGGCTGTAAAGTTCAAGCATCGAGACAATTACATCTGAAGCAAGACGTTATCTTCTTATGTTCCATAGAGCACATTATAAAAGACTATGGAACTCTGATCATTTCAGTACCTTTAGCATTAAGTTCATTTGAGCGTGTTTTTTGAGCGTCGCAGAATACTGATTGAGCGAGTCTCCTTGATCACTCGATAGTTACATGGCTGTGGCGTTCCATTAGCCGTTGTTTTGACTGCCGGAGAAAGTTAGGGGTGTAGCTTGGCTCCACGTGCGCTATGATGAGCACCACAAGCACTCGGCCATGGTGCTCCCATATAAAGCTACAATGCAACACAGTGCTGATCACGTGATGTGCAATGAAGCAGCTCTTAGAGAGTGTTGGTAGCATTCCGATAAGTTGGTACAGTGCTATATTCAAGTTGCAAGAAAGAAGATGTAGTAAAGTTGTTATCTACTCAGGAAGTCAATTATATCAACGCGGAACACTTTTATAAATTACTACAGCACGGTGCTGCTGCAACGAGGAACTGATAAGTTGTACAGCGCTGACGGTGTCTTCGACTTGTCATTTGCGAAGCAAATAAAACAACATCGCTATCTTCCTAGTTGACCATTTCTCGCTAACAAACCGAATTTCAAGAAAGCTTACCTCTCTCCGGCTGAAAATGTGAAGAAATACACATAAAGGCGTGAAGCTTTGTATCACAACTTCTTTTTACTTGCAAAATCCCGGTGGAAGATTTTCCACATTAACATAGCCAAGTCGTCGTCCTCTAAACTCTGCAAACTAACGAGTAATTTTACTATATAATATTCAAGCTGTCCAAGAATAAAACCGGCAGCGATGTCAATGAGCGCGTTTCTTACACCGTTTGAGCACCTGAATTCACAATATGAGGTCAACCAAGGATCTGCGCTGTTGTTCCTATGAAATATGATCGGTACTTGTCCTTATGTGTCGTTCAAAAAAGGTTTTTAAATACATGAAACCATAGGTTTAACGGAGACATTGCAGAACTAAATAGCTTTTTCTAACGGCAGATAAATTGAGTTAAAGGCATTATCACAGCTTCTCACTTTTACAATTCGAAAAATTTTATTATCTCATGAAAGGAAATAGATGGCTTGAGATACGACCAGGCCAAAATGATTGCTTAGTCTGCACTATTTCGAGATGACATGAATGTTTTCAGAAAATTTAGAGGGACGAACTAAGCCATTAAAGACTTTGTGTTGGATACACGAATTATTTTTTCCGCACGTCGTGGAAAGGTTGTGAAAAATTGGCTGCCCTGCATAATTGCCCACCTTTGTGAAAACATGTACGGTTAAAGAAGATGGGAGAAGAAGATTTCGCTCGATGTCACGTTAGTAGCGTTTTTGAAAATGTCAACTTCACATTCTCACTTGATACACATCCAGTCTCTAAAGGGTGCAATTCTTGTGGCTCAGTAAAAGATGTGATGCCTTCATGGAGCTGTATCATTTGTTATCGTTCTCGCTACATCAAATCAAAAGATTTTTCGCAGCATCTCATCCCGCCTCTGTCCAATTCATTCAGTGAGTTTTTAAAAGCTCTTAATTTGGCAATCAGTTGACTTCTCCGCCTACAAAATGAACTGATAGAAAAAATACGAAAGTAAATGAGACAGAAGCTTAACAGTCACAATTTCGGTCTCTTAAAAATTTATAGTCGGAAACTCTCTCACGAACGTTTCATTTTCTTTCTGTCAATCGATATCTTCTTTTGCAGAATTTATCTTGAAAGTACGCCTGAAATTTGGTATTTTGTCGATTTCAACTATTAATTTCTAAGATAATCAGAATTTTATTCTGCAGCATCGGAAATGAGAAGGTGGAGCTAAATTTAAACCACACCACTTCTAGAATTGATGCTCTACTAAAATTCCTGCTCAAGTGGTCTTTTCCAAGCAGTTCATTCCCGTTCAACGTTTCACCTCCATCTCATCTCATTAAGCGATTACCGTGTTTCAAAAAACTCCTGAGTCTCTTAGCAAACTAAACGAGCTGCATGCTTATGTTACTCACGTATAAAGCAAATCCGTTGTTATCTTGTAGATAATGTGAGGTAAAAAGTGGAAAATCTGTTTTGAGTTCAGTTTAAAGTATCGCCTAGATTTCATGAAGCAAGCTGAAAAATTCTTACAAAGATGGAAACGCTTCTGCTCGACGCTTTCATGTTTCACTGCTAGCTACAGTTTCTGCGGTACTGTGCTGCGGAGTTATTCCTGCTGTTCAAGGCAGTGACATTGTGATTGTTTTTGTACTTCAGATGATTTCGATCTTAAATGTGAGTTTATGAACTCTACTGTGAATCAATATGCTTAACGCATCATCAGTACTCAAGAGCTGTTTCTCTCCAAGATTTTGATGAGAGACTTTTGAAATATAAACATCAAAAATCAAGCATACCGATTAAATCATTAAAGAACTGTTTTGATTTTGCATAATTTACGAAAAAGCTGCGAAATTTCTCTGCAGCGAGGACCAGGACGTTCACAACTTTGCCTGTTCAAATGGTCTACGCTGCAAACCTCGCACTTTTGTCAAGTTTCACGAATTGCATCTGATAGTGCCGGAGCTCACGGATATGTACAGAATCTTGTAATGCAAATAGTTTGTTTGCATCTCGCACATTTCAAGTGGTTTATTCTTTTTGAAACCCTTGGAAAGTCATAAGAGGTGTGCTCCAGGTTTCTGATAATTTGTCGGCTTCCTGATGCTAATATCACTTGCATGACTTTATACAATTTGTTAGATAATATTTGCAGTAATTTCCACCGGCAATTGAAAAGTTACCCATTGATGTAGAGTGATGTGCAAAACTCTCGCGTCAGGCGGGACTAGAACCCGCACCATACTCTTTCCGGGAATGCGTGCTCTATTCGTTACACTACTGACGTCCATTTTGCACATCGCTCTTTCTACTCTACAGCGCATCTATCTATCAGCTGTCAGCCATCAACGGCCTGGCCCGGGTAGTCGATCTCGACATTGAACCCAATCACGCTGACAGAGATTGGATACGAAAGATCAAACGAAATAGTACTGAACTGAAAAAAAACTGAAAACTTTTTTTCAGGTCTTTGATGTTCTCGAATTCTAAGGTCGTAGCGCCTTCTACGCGACGCTGTAATCAGGAGCATTTTTGGTCAAGTTGAAATTAGAATCACTTATGAACCAGTGGGATGCCAGACAGCTCTTAGTCCAACAGGACTGCTAAGAGTGGGTATTCAATAATCCATTAGAGTTCAGGCATAAATATATTAATCACAAGAAAAGGACAATGTGCATCATTGTGACATGAGGTATTATAAGTAAAATTACTGGTAACGATTGGACTGTGAGAAACAATATCAAAGTGATATTATAACCAGCAGTCAGAAAGGATGGCCGCTTTCAAATAAGTTTTCAGTATTCTTTGGTCCGAGTGAAGTAGTATACATAGAGTCAGGTAATTGTTTATGGAGTTCCAAAGAGTGGAAAAATCAGTGCTAGACACTGCTTTGATGTATTCTTATGACTTATAATGGAAGAAGGTATCATTCTGGACTCGTATGTTTTTCTTGCACTTATCGGCAGGCATGCCGCAGAAGTGCATCATTGTCCGGCAATGGGAATTTGCCCTAAAATGGACCCCGCAACAATGGAGTGTAAGACCAAGAGTGTATTGACGCCTATTCCCACTAATCAAACGTCAATCACCGGGACTGTCATGGTTCGAACAGCTTTAGTTATATACAAACTCGTTTTCTGGGAAAAATAAATCTCTATAGACCACAAACGTAATCATGACGAATTAATCGAATATGATGTGGCAAAGTGCACTGGACAGAGCTCTTCGAAAGTTGGCATCGGGTCCATTTGGATCACATTTCTTCTCGACGATTGCCATTGTTGGAGCAAACTAAGATAAATTGTGACTGTTTGAGACAAATTTCTTCATTCAAACTGTGTTTATTGTAACAATTCTGTAGCAATAAATTGATAGATCACGTAGCTATGTACAAAGTGATAATCTCGACTGAGTATTTCTTAGGAGATAGGTTCAGACATGGAAATAAAATTCATAGAAAAAAAATTTCCCTTGCTTATAATTTGGACAACTAGTATCTCCTTACTGGTTATAGCGGAAAACTTCAGAAAAGATCAAAACGAAAATAAGAACACTGAAGTAGTTACAATAAACAGTAGAAAAACGCACGATACTATGAAGAAAACGAGAACGAAAACAACACAGTTAATAATAAAATAGATAGACATGTACAGTATCTTGGTCAACAATGTCGAGATTTCCCGAAATTTCTTATCGTTTTTCGACACACTTGTTAGCTCAGTTGCTACCTGTTTAGAAAAAAATTAATTAATCACCAATATAATATCATGATCAATGATATGCAACAATTTACTGGTTGCCTTTTTCTCTCAAAAAAAAAAATGAGGTTGAAGATGCAAGAAGTTGATGATGTCGTTGACCAGCTGTAGTCTATGAACTTCTTCTCACGTAGATGCTGCTTTATATAGTGTATGTGATACCATATGTACGACTCTATCCAGAAACTTAAGCTTTTGAATGATTAATAACACTCCTATAAAAAATTATTGTCCAACATTCAAGCAATCATTTATCGCCGTTGGGCATATAAGTGCCAAAGTGAATAAAACAATAAATAAAAAAACTGTGAGCTAACGCGGTGGTATGCAGCAGAAATAACACATGTGATTATTGATTCAGATTCAGAGCCTGTGTGCAACTTTGGGCAGACACTCGGATGCGGCCGTAGGACGTAGTACGCCATTCAGATGAGATGAGCTACCACAAAGTGATTTCGTGATGGAAACCTCATGCAATGACCGACCACCTCACTATATATAACCGACTCTCCGCAATCTGGAAAAAGCACGACTGCGCTACATTACCATATCACCCGTATCGCCCTGATACTGATTCACAAACTTTTAATCGCTTCCTAGCCCTGAAGCAGCATCAGCGATAGAAAAATTCTAGACTATAACCACCTCAAAAAAGCATCATCGACTTCTTTGACCGCAATTCTCATGTTCTCTAGGAGAAAGGTGTGCAATCTTTTCGATGTCAATGAGTTGGACATTGTTAAGGCTGATGGTGATTATTATTCAATTAAGCTGTTTTCTCCAAATCAAGGACGATTGGAGCGACGCAGCTGTTGAAATACAGAAGAAATTATGAGAAACCCCAACAAAATGGAGTATAGTGCAAAAGTACTTTGAGGTTGACTAGAAATACACTCAATCTCTTTTTTGAGAAGTAAGCATATATATATAGCAAAAGACAAATTCAATGAAACAACATCAAAAAAGGAGCAGCAACCTTCAAAGTAATAACGAGGAAGGCGTAAATGTTGAAATAATTTATAACATTCTAGTCTTCACGTCCGCAGTCTTGTAAAGCACAGCGGTGCCTATAAACGCGTGAAAACATTCTCTTTTGTTTAGATATTAGATTATTGCAAAATGTAATCTGAAGAGCTGTTGCAGGAGACATAATAGGTTTGACCACATTTTTCAAAAAACTGGTGAGATGCTGCAAAAACCAAGCCAATAAAAAAGATTCCAATACTTGTGCTGAATTTAAACCACTTTGAAAAAACTTATTTGACAGCTTTAAATTTTTATAACACACTCGTGACGAGTAAGCTCTGTGAGAGTTACTTTAAAGTTATTGAAGAGGCCAATAAAGCCTTCAGAAAAAGCATCTTCTTTTCGATAGTTTATCTGAACTTATGAAACGGCATTTGCCTAGAAATGTTGTTTTGAGGGCAGTGTTTGGATGTATCAAGGACCTCTGAGTACTTCCCGGCATTCGTACCCTGTTTTGACCTTTCAGCAAAACTCATTTAATGGTGTTTTCTAATGTTTAAATAATGATTTGTTAGCTTGAATGAAAAGAATTTGAATGGTGCATTTCATTTTTAAAATGGCTCCATTAATACTTTGAAAGAGGAGAAAAAATTTTGTTCTCTTTCAAACATTTCTCTCTGGCAGAGCTATTTGTATTAACCGCTTATAACTAGTTGATAGATCAAATCTCAATGATTCTAATATTGTTTTTAGTTTTTGAAACAGACTTCTTGGTGCGCTATAACAGCTAAAAGAAATTGGGTTTCGCGAAACTCAATCACTTCTAATATCCGTGCCTTTCTACGATCCCTCGAGAATGCGACTTTCGCTTTCCTTGAAGTTATAGCAATAATGTAGCAGAATAAATCTCATAGATTTCAGTGGTACACTTTGCTTTCAATATGTCTGGATTATGCGGCTGAAAGAAGTAAAGGATGAAGCTCTTGGCGTTAATCAATCACTGAGAGATGCTTTGTGCATTCATCATCCTTTACCTGTAGTTGAATAAGATTTCACAGCAAGCGACACCAGTCTGCTGCACGTCAATGCCTTTCAAATGTTTTCTGCTGGTTTTCATCTAGTGTTCCTCTGCTATGAGCCTCCATGTTTTATCAAGTACTGAAAAAGACGCCGTTGTGCTCCTACATAAACATGGCATCTTGCAAGCCGAACGTCTGTGCAATGCAGGTCATCGAATGAAACTGGCGCTGGGTCCCCGGACTTTGGATATGTTAAGCATTAGCTCTTCGGTCAAGACACACCCTGTGCCCGAGTGTAAAAACCCAATTTGCATTTAGCTGTTGCAGCGCACTAAGAAGTCTGTCTCAAAATTAAAAGACATCATTCGAATTCAAGAAATTTGTCTGTCGATTCATTATCAAGATTTTAAATAAAAAAATTAAGTAAGAGAGAAATGTTTGAGTGAGCAACAAAATTTTGTTTCCTTCAACTAGGCTAATGAATAATCATTTAAATATTGAAACGACCTCAAAATAAATTCTTTCTGAGAAACGAAACAGTGCGTGGATAATGGAAGAAATCCAGTTTTGCGAAAGCCAATTTTCTTTTAGTTGTTACAGCGCACTGCGAAATCTGCTTCAAAAGCAAAATTATCATTAAAATTTTTAAGATTCGATCCATCGATCATTTGCCAAAGCTTCCAAGAAAGGCCTTTGGTCAGCGAGAAATTTTTGAATAAAAACAAAATTATATTTTTGCACTTTCAGCGCTGCTCATGCTCCTTCTTCAAAGAATGAAATATACCATTCAAGTCTTTCAAATTAAGCTATCGAATGACTACTTGAGCACTGGGAACGGCTAAGAAATTGGCTTTTTCTAAAGGGTCGAAACAGTGTGCGAACAACGGAAATTACTAGCCTCTGTCAGATGTAACATTCCTGAACAAAGCGGCTTCTAACATGTCAACGGGAAGATTTACTCAAATCGTAGCATATCACTCTCTCGCGCTTGTAGATATAGATATTATCATAAACATTTACCTTTTAAGAATCTTGGAACACTTAAGAATGTGAGTAAGGAGGCGTCATCTCACTCTCGATCTGGACAACATCCACTGTACCCTTCTTCTGCAATATATTAGGTGTTTCATTAAAATGTAGAAACCTTCTGCCTCATTACATGATCTAACCCTTGACGCTTGAGTCATCATGTGTTTTCAGAGCTGCATGAACCGGCTAAATACTAATTTTTAAAATTAAAAAGGGAAGTAAATAAAACTCATCATTGATCAAAATGTCTTCCAAGTTTGACTCTTTACCCAGATCATGTAGCCATCTACTATGATTACGCTTGGAACTGACGTGTACAGTAAGTAGTAAAATGAACAAGGCGAATTTCAACAGACGTATTCAGGTCCTAATTGTCGGTAGTATCACTGCAATGTACAGTTATAGCCGCGTTTCATTAGATTCCTGTAATTCTGCCACTAACTTGCCTCAAAATGATTGGTTAGCTTAGTGCTCATTCCGAAAACAGTTGGAAAGTAAAAATGGACAGACTAGTG